GAAACTTGTGTGAAAAGCGAGGCGACTTTCATTGCAGCTCCTCCCTCATTCATGCGAAACTTGTGTGAAAAGCGAGGCGACTTTCAGTGTGCATGTACATGCGTTGACTGTATACCCGTCAATACAATACTAGTCAAATACGTAGACTTCTACGGAGGCCTTCTAAGTAATGCGCGCGGGGTATAATTCAAACCTCTGCCCCACCAAAGTTTTACCCTTACCCCTTTTAAAAAAAGGCTCAAGTCCGTCCTTCCGGGAGACGGAAATTTAAGGCTATCAACGAACACGTTTACATAGGGTGCGGTTCGCATGAATGAGCGAGGGAGCTGTTTCGGTTTCGGGGCGAAGCAAGAAAGGGATGAGCGCGCGGAGCGCGCGAATACTGTTTCAGGTGTTGGTAATAAAAGATTTATGGAAACGGAGACGACGCAGGGGGCGTATGAATCTTACTAGGGAAACCGCACCATATGTACGCGACACACACACAACATCACACATCTCACACAACACTCAACGTACACACACCTACACACACACACACACACACACACACAAGATAAAGTTCAAAAGGCCCTCAGCTTGCTAGCTGGTAGTTGAGGGCAAAGAGTTTAAGAACCTGATTACCTGTTGCCACAGGAACCAGTGACGAACCCACAATTCAGGATGGAGCAAGACAATGGAAAGAGAGGCTTAGACTGCTTCTCTTTGGCATCACAAGAGCAGCAGAAGCGAGCAAAACATGCCATTGACGTATCCACGAAAGATGCTTCAGACGCACTTTCCAATCTCTTTCAGCACCACCAGTCCAGCAGATGCAATAGCAAATCAGAAGCAGCTCAGCTACTCAATAATGTCTTGGCCTTACGGGAACAGCTGGATGAAATTGTCGACGAGGCAACCATCATTCTCAAGCTTGCCCCAGAAGAATCCTGTTTGCAGCATGACGATATTTGGGTCAAGCAAATTCTGCCATTCCTTGGGATGGGGCAATATGCCTTTGTTGCCCCAGTCTGCCACAAACTGAAAGATCTTTATGTGGCTTATTGTGAAACTGTGCAAAATCCGCCAAAGATCTATGAGTGCCGGTATGAGAACCACTTTTCATTTGCAACCCCTACCACTACATTGTATAGAGCAATCTTCTGCTCAGTCTCCCGTGCAGAGTACTGGCACGTCAACCGTCACATTGGCTCTGGTCGGTTCGGTGGTGCTGTAGTCTGTGATGCTGCTGCCAAAGTGCGTAATCTTCAAGTCATCCAATGGGCCCGAAAAAAGGGGTATGAGTGGCATTCATGGGCATGCCACAATGCTGCCAGATATGGGCACCTGCAAGTGCTCAAATATGCCCATGAAAATGGCTGTCCATGGGATGAAAGGACATGCCACTATGCTGCTGAAAATGGACATTTGGAATGTCTCAAGTATGCCCACGAAAATGGCTGTCCATGGGGCAAAATCACTTGCCAACTTGCTGCCAAGAATGGCCACTTGGAATGTCTCAAATATACCCATGAAAATGGCTGTCCATGGGATGGAATCACTTGCCAACTTGCTGCCAAGAATGGTCATATGAAAGTCCTGAAATATGCCCATGAAAATGGGTGTCCATGGGACGAATCCACATGCTGCAAAGCCGCTGAGAATGGTCAGTTGGCAATCCTCAAATATGCCCATGAAATTGGGTGTCCATGGGATGAAAGGACATGCTGCAATGCTGCCAGAAATGAGCATTTAGACTGCCTGAAGTATGCACATGAATTCGGCTGTCCATGGGGTACACCCACATGCCGTGCTGCTGCTGAGAAAGGTCGTTTGGGTTGCCTTAAATATGCCCATGAAAATGGCTGTGCTTGGGACGAAGACACTTGCAGTGGTGCTGCTTACTGCGGCCATTTGGAAATCCTGAAGTATGCCCACGAAAACGGCTGCCCATGGGGCAAAACCACATGCAACAAAGCTGCAAAAGGGGGTCGTTTGGAGATTCTAAAATATGTCCACGAAAATGGATGTCCATGGGGTGAAGACACGTGCTACTATGCTGCAAAAAATGGTCATATGGAATGCCTGAAGTTCGCACATGAACATGGCTCTGAGTTGAATATGCGTGCGTTGTTGTATGGTGCTACTCCACAGATAAAGGATTGGGTGCAAGCAAGAATATTTCAGCGTCGTGCCTATGATTAATGTTTGGTTTTGCAGCTTGTGCTCCTCAACTTGGATACGGAAAGAGCAACAACAGTGAGCTGGGCTGACTTTGGCTCCCTCGAGAGTGCTTTTTTTGTCATGGATCCTTAGAGTGGATGTTTATGGCCAGACAAACAATGAATCACTGAATGTCGCTTCGAAGCAAGCTGACAGGTGGCAGACCTAGCCAGCTGCGTGGTTACTATTAGTGGCTACAGTCAGTAGTAACGTTGGGTATGCCACCGAGCTGGTGAACGACTTGTGCCTGTATAGCGATGCAGCCTTTTAGTAGAACACTGAATGATGCACGTTCTTTTGTGCAAGAATATGGTGGATCGCCCGGACTCGACTCGAGCTCCAGCAATGCGTCGGGTTAGTTGATGATCCCTTGCTTGATACTGCAAACACACCTCTTGCAGGAATGCATATAGTCTTGCCGAAATAGCATTGCCTCCCTCCAGATCTATGGTTCATGTACAGCGCTGCTCACGACGCCATGATCCTCTTGCCCAAGCTCTTCGCCGCCATGCTTTGGAATTTCCTCGTCATTGGCAGTATCCCCTTGCCTGTCGTTGTCGTCACCATCCGAGGAGGGTGTATCTCTTCCACAAGTTCCATTCGGTTTCGCATCATTATTATGAATCGATGATTCTTCATTATTGTCATCCTCTCCCTCCCATTCGTCTTCGTCGTCTTCTCCTTGTACACTGACAGCCGAAACAATGGCCTGCCATACATCAGGTCTGACGGTGTGATTAGTGGTGCCGCCCGTCGAATCGACGGGGCTATCATCGCCTGCCGTTTGCAACAACTGTCGAGAACTGCGTCGCAAGGACAAGCCCAAGAATTGTTGTGATCCCTCCTGACTATTTCGACTTTGGCGGCGCCGTTGCTGTTGTTGCTGTTGTCGTTGTTTTTGTCGGTAGCGGAGATAGCGTGGTCGAATGTAAATCAAGGCATTCCACATGCCTTGCAAGGGATTGAGAATGACGGTCAATGCCAATAAGGGATAGTAGAGTGTCCCTTCCGGTGCCTGTGTGACGGCGAATTGTGCCATGGGAATGATCCATGCCAAAAAGAAAGACAAAATGTACCAAAAGGCTTGTTCGGCAAATCGTCTGGATAGCTTTTGTTTCTTGTGCTGTTGTTGTTTTCGTTTTCGTTGTTTGAAACTGGCTGTTCTGGAAAATGGCGCGGAACAACTGTATTCGGTAGTGTTGAGTTCTTCGTCACTACTTGGTCTCTTGGCGGATCCTCCAAAGAGTACTCGACTGCTACCAATGATATGCCTGTGACTGCTGCGTGCCAAAGACAGGCGAGATTGACTGGTTGTCGGAGTGGTACATGTCATGGACGAAGCTTGTGCATCTTCGTGCAGTACCTCCACTTGCTGCTGCTGATTGTCTTGATTATCATGAGTGCTTTGTATTTGAAATTCTTGTCGTTGTTCCTCTTGTTTGATGAGAAAGCTGTTATTGTATCGATCGGAGCGACGTTCATCGGCTTTGATTTTGGCATAAATGAGTATCATGGCGACGGTGACAAAGGCAAATGTGGCCCATAGAATAGCATGAAAAAAGAGCCATCGATAGAGTTTGGCATTGTGTCCGCGTTCACATGGCGTGCCATCGCCATCAGCGGCACATTGGAGTGGCCACGGTCCAATCCAACAGGTCCATCCAATGGGGTTAAAGAGGCGCAGTGGCAACGATGCAATGGCCGTGCCCCAGCCAATTGAGAGAGGAATGGCGTGCAGTAGCCACTCCCAGGATATTCGTATTCTTGTGGTTGTGGATGTGTTATGTGTGGATGATGATGATGATGATGATGATGATTGTTGTTGAAATTGCGATTGTGTCCATCCATATCGAATGGTGAGTAGATAGTAGAGTGTCAGACTGCCATTGTAGACAGCCGACGACAGCGATCCTCCTTGTCCCCAAAAGGCGGCCGCCGTACACGTTTGTGTGGTTCCCACGGCTCCATACGCCGACCCAGTAGGCAAGGGCCATGTGGAAAGAAAGCATTTGATGGCATACATCAAATCCATACCACTCATGACCAGCAAGAGACGCGTGTAGACCCGTTGTCGTCGCGATGGAGATCGTAGGACATGCTGAATGATATACAGGCTTCCCACAATACTGAAGGAGGAGGAGAATTTGGGACAAATGGCCAAGAATCGTTGTTGGGACACACTAAAGGGAGGTGTGAAGCGGCTGTGGCTCCCAGACATGATGGTTTGGACTGTACCGGTACCGGTATGGTACTGAACCAAAGACCGTCGAGTGGTGCGCTACCGGTACAGTATATATTAACACGACTCGACTCTTGCTGTCCTCAAAGCAAGCTCCTCTGTCGTTTCCTCTGCCTCCGTTAGCTTGGGATGCACCGACAGCAAGTGCTGTTCTAGCTAGCTCGGCAGCTGTTGGTTCAGAGAGAGACAAGAGCAAAGCAACAATTGAGGGTCTCTTTCATCGATTGACGGTGGATGTTTGTGGATTGTGTGTGGAGCCATTGTGGATTGTTGCGGGGTGGCCGGTTTGTGATCGCCTTCGCTGCAAGTCATTGAGCCTCTTTCGGTGATTCGGCAAAAATTAAGAAGAGCAGTCCAAGAGAAGTTCACAATAAGTAGAGCTTCAACAGCTTCGGGACTCCACTGTAAAACTTCTCTGCCAGACATTGACACGTCATTCAATAAAATAGGAGCAAGAGCTCGTTAAGTAAAAATTATGTGGACCCAAAAAAGAAAAAGAATTGGAGTCGAATTAGTCGACTCGACTCGACTGACTCGACTCGTCACTCAGACGAACCGACTAAACCTTCACAAGATAGATTTGCACAGCAGCAAACCATCCACGATCGAATTGTCGTCGTCAACCCTGACAACCATTGTCCCCCAAGTATCAATCGGACTTCATAGTTTATCACCCTGTTGTTGTCATTGTGAGATAGATCTCGCATCATTCGTTTGAGTGTTGGACTTCCGTACCGTACCGTTCGCAAGAGAAGTGAAGTGAAGTGAAGTGAAGTGAAGAAAGATGAGCCATCAACACCAGCAACAACCATTCGTCCATCCGCAAGCAACGACGAGAGAGTCACGCGATGTCCTCCATCGAGCGATCTACGATTACTTTCGAAAGTTGGCTCTGCCGCAACAGCATCAACAGGCTGATCATTCCCTGATGCATGCTAGTTTTGGAAATCCCTTTGCTGTGGAAGATTCGACTGCTACGACAGGAGCATCATCAGCCTTGCAAAACCAGGCCCAATCGGTTCTCCAAGTGCTGGAGAGAGAGTTTCCAAACATGTTGCTCTTGCCAGGAGAAGACATTCAAGATCCCAATGTAGAGTCCGAATTGGAGAAACGATTTCACGGGTCGTATCCTCCTCACAACAAGAAGGATCAACATCAGTCCATGGTACAGCAGCAGCAGCAACATGCACATGGCTTTTTACCGCTGCAAGGACCACCCATGATGACACATCATACACAACATCACACTGCGACCCCTGAAAGCCAATCTGCACATGCCTTTGATGTGATGGAACCAAATCCTCGACAGAATCATCATCAACCATTGCCAGTTCAGCAGCACCAGGCTCATTCAGGCATCCATTCTGTGCCAATGCCAATTCAGCACCATCCTCATCAGACTCCACCCATCCACAGAAACTCGCCTCCTCCTCCTCAAATTCCAATTCCCGACACAAACAACAACAGTACTACAATCCTCATGCCTCCTCCACCACCACCACCACTACGACAAGAACCGCCTTCGCGAAATAATGAAATCATGGTTCCTCCACTGCGATCACGCAAAAAAGGACCCCTGACTCATCCAGCGGACAGAGTAGATGCGGGCATTGATACAGACATGGCGCCACTGCCACCGGCACAAGTCATGCCCGTCGTAGAGCACGCCAATGTCAAAACTGCAGCAGCAGAAACACCAAACCGCGCCATGATGATGCCTCCCAGAACACGACCAGGAGCAGAATGCAACGACGATGATTCCTCTTGGAAACCCAATGCACCCTCCAATACGAATGATGGTAACAACAACAAGCAAGATACAGCCAACAACCCAGCCATTGCTGCAGCACTGGAAACACCCAATAATGGCGACAACAATAACCATGCGACTAGTACCGACGACACCCAGAAACTCGCAGCAGATGATGTACACCACCAAGTCGAACTGCAAAAGGTCAAATCACAACTACGCGTCGCCAAACGAAAAATCAAAAAGCTCAAAGTTGTACAAACAGATGACGACGAGGGCAACCACAACAAAAAGAAGAAAAGGAGAAAAAAGACCCATGACACCAGCAACAGTACGACGACGACTACCTTTGAACAACGCTTTCAAGAACTGGTTCATTATCAAAAGGGATACGGACATTGTCGCGTGCCTTGCACCAGTAAAGAAAATCCAGGATTGGCACGATGGGTGCAGACTATGCGTGCCGCGTACAAGGAAAAACAAAAACGCAAACAACACTACGGCGGACAATTGACCGATGAGCGACAAGAACAGTTGGAAACCATTGGATTCGAATGGTCCATTCAAGCCAAACCAAAGGCGACCTGGGAACAACGATTCCAAGACTTGAAAGCGTTCAAAGTCCAACATGGACATGTGCGGGTGGTACGGAGTTATCCCCAGGATCCGTCACTCGGGGAATGGTGTCATCGACAACGATTCTTGGCGCACAAGAATGAACTGGAAGCGCACAAGATCCAGCTGTTGACCGATTTGGGATTTGAGATTTGGGTCCGCAAGCAGGGGAAATCGTGGGACGATCATTTTGCAATGTTGCTCGAATTTCGACGGTGAGTTACTACTGTATATAGTTACTGAAAGTTGCTGGCATTCATTCACTCACTACTACTCGCCTCTCGGCTCGGCACGCAGAACACATCAACACCTTAAAGTGCCTCCACCGGATACGCGAACAAAGGTGAAGCAGGTATTGTTGAATGCAGCCGCTGCTGGAAAGGGAGATGGAACCAATGACGCAGGGCTTACTCCTGGTGGTGATGCTGCAGAGAATGGGGGAGAGACTGCAACCGCAGCAGGCGAAAGTGGACCGCCGACACTCGATCCAGCAACCGAAGAGTACAAGGAAGAACAAGCGTTTCGTAGATGGGTAGCCGTACAGGTATGTTTCCAAAGGTTGCGCACGCTGTATCAGACTCTACTTTGCTTGCAAGCAGTGAAAATGCTGACACTTGAGAATGTTTCTTCTTTGTTGGGTTGTTCATTCAAAGAGAGACAACTATCACCTCAAGTATCTCAAGGGAGTCACGAGTCCATTGACCAAAGCCCGCGTCAAGAAGCTCAATGGGGTTGGCTTTGATTGGACACGGGAAGGGGGTGAGAATGATTTGCGAAAGATTCGTCGCGGAGAATTCCATCATAGGTACGTACAGTATCGTGGGTGGATCTTTCCCCCAAGACAAGACGAGGTACGCTCACGACCATGACTCATGCCCCGTTCCGTTGTGTCGCAGGAACGATCCTCATATATGGAACCGGCGATTTGAAGAGTTGTTGGAATACAAGAAGCGTTTCGGAGATTGCAATGTACCAAAAGAATGGCCTGAAAACAAGTCTCTTGGTGCATGGGTAGCCACGCAACGAAAGAACTACAAGGCCATGTTGTCAGGCGAACGCAGTTCGTTGACCAATGAACGGCGCACCGCGTTGGAAAATATTGATTTCGTGTGGATAGTTCGACCGGCAAGGACTCGTCCCAAGATTCTGGAGATTGAAGGGTTGCAGACAATGGCTGCAGAGATGCTTTAGCTAGGTCGGATTGAGCGGAAACACTTCCCAGTACCGAAATCTAGGTGAATCCTTCTATTTTATTTGACTTTGTAGTATAGAACTTGTTGATGCTCGCGTGCGGTTCCTGGACCACAGGGAAGAAACGGCAGCTTATCCACCTGCAAACCATTTCCACTTGAAATGCCAGCAGCAGATCTTTGTAGATCATTCATAACTTGGGCATCCATTGTCACGTGCCCACTTGAGAATTTCAATTTGGCCATTGCCTTCTGCAGCTATAATGGTATCTGAGTTCCAGGGGCAGCCATTCTCGCGAGCCCATTTGAGAATCTCCAGATGACCATGTTCTGAAGCACAGGAACATGTCCTTTCATCCCAAGGACATCCGTTCTCATGGGCCCACTTCAGCATTTCGAAATGACCGGATTCTGCAGCACAACAACAAGTGGATTCATCCCAAGGGCATCCATTCTCACGAGCCCATTTCAGTATTTCCAAATGACCACTCTCTGCGGCTCCACGGCACGTCCATTCATTCCAAGGACATCCATTTTCACGAGCCCATTTCAGCATCTCCAAATGACCGCGCTCTGCGGCTCCACGGCACGTCCATTCATCCCAAGGACATCCATTTCACGAGCCCATTTCAGATTTCCAAATGCACTCTCTGCGGCTCCACGGCACGTCATTCATTCCAAGGACATCCATTTCACGGCCCATTAGATTTCAAATGCCATTCTGGCAGCACCAACAGTCGATCACTCCAAGGACATCCGTTCTCATGAGCCCATTTCAGTATTTCAAAATGGCCATTACTGGCAGCACCAAACAGTCGATGCACTCCAAGGACATCCATTCTCATGAGCCCATTTCAGTATTTCCAAATGGCCATTACTGGCAGCCATTTGGCAGATCATTGCATTCCATGGGCATCCATGGTCACGAGCCCACTTCAAGATTTCAAACTGCCCACTGCTTGCAGCAAAATGGCATGTCATAAAATTCCATGGACAACCTTGCTCATGAGCCCACTTGAGAAGCTTGAGATGGCCACCTTTCGCAGCCAATGCACATGTCCAAGCATCCCACGGGCATCCATTTTCATGCAACCACCTCAGCACAGCAAGCTGTCCAGCTTTGGCAGCTTCTGAACATGTTTTTTCATCCCATGGGCAGCCATTCTGTCTGGCCCATTTCAGCATTTCGATATGACCGCCTCGAGCTGCAGCAGAGCAGGTGACTTTGTTCCAGGGGTATCCTTTGCTGTGTGCCCATTGAAGAACTTGAAGATTTCCACCTTGGGTAACAACTGTGTGACAGACAGACTTCATGCGAGGGTATTTGTGAATGGATGTGTCATTGTGCCAGTATTCCGCGCAGGACACATTGTAGATTGCCGAACTGAAGAATGTGTCCCTACAGGTTGCTTGGCGTTTTGGACCACCGTGATATGTATTGTACACCATGGGAGGAGTCTCCACAGTTTTGCAAAACTCCTCGTATAGCTGATGCCATTGCTTGTTGACAGCCCCCACAAAGGCATGCTGACCCATTCCTAGAAATGGAAGAATCTGGTTGATCCAAATGTCCTTTTGGTGGAGCAAGTTGACGCAAGGAGGGCCCATTTTCTGCTTTTCTTGGCGCATCAGTTGGGCCGACATGTTGATATGAATTCGTGGATTGATTTGAGGCGATGCAATGTAATGTAATACAATGAATGCGACGAAATAATGCAACGAACCGAGAGACGAGGAGTACACGATGGTTCTGCAAGTCACGCTGTCCACGCCACACCAATCTCGTAAGATCCACGCCCACGCTGCCAGATTGATTCAGTTTCGGAAAGATGGAGTAATTACCTGAAGATCTTTCATATATCTCTCACCTCCCTGATTATTGAGAACCCGCCAAGCAAAAAATGAAGAGCAACGGTAAAGCCGCCGGTTTCCCATTATTACAGTTGGGGTAGCTGTTGTGGTTCAGAGCTCCTGAATTCATGGCCAGAAGTTGCTTGATCTTGGTCAAACAATACCGTACAGTAATAAAAGGAAAGATAGGACAGAAGGAAATTGATTGAAACGAAGAAATCCTGAGAAACAATGGTGTCGACAAGCGAACGCAACGGACTGGTCGGTTTGGTGGTTGCCGTCTTGGTATCCTTTTGGGGATCGTCGAGGATTGTGCGACTCGTCGCCCGCGATGTTCTGGAAATTGACATTGACAATTCTCTAAGTCAAAGCTCGTCGTGGCTACTAGAAGACCACATGCCAGAATTTGAACGCGAGTTTCCATTTTCCATGCAACAAACTCCCGCATGTGCTTCCGCCATGAGCAACCTGACGAAGTTGGAACGCCTGGCATTTCTAGCCGAGCAAGATTGGCAAAAACAGGAGCATCATCACAATGACAATCCAAAATGGCACGATTGGTTGGAAGCACCCCTGTCCGATCCCATGAAAGTGGCCGAGAAAGAGTGGAGTAGTATCCTGAATGCGTGCCATGGGCCATGGCCGGACAGTACCGTGGACCCTGCATTTGCCGCCAACTACACACTACGGGCGTTTTGGCAGGGATTACGGCGCTGTGGTGCCAAGGAAGAACAGCGGGGAGGACATCCAGCAGGTTTTGGTGGAGAATGGTGCATGCAAGGCTGGAGAAGTAGAGCCACCAGAGCCTTTGTCGAGAATAAACGACAACCCGAGACTGGTAGATTAAAACGAGACCCCAAGGCGGACATTTTCATATTGACGGCACGATGTGCCTTGAAAATGGAGTTTCCAATCGTTCCACAACATCAAAACAACGACAAAAAAGACAAAGACAGCTCCTTGCAAACAACACAACGACTCACCAATCGTCAAAAATTCCCTGGATGGAGACCCAAACGGGTGATTCTACTTTCCGCCACACTCGGAAAAGGCGCCACCATGGGATGCAAGCTAGTGAATACTGCGTTTTTTAGGGGCTGGGAAGTCGTGTTTATCGAGGGAAAGTATCGAGGAATCAAGCACAAGTACACGGATGCCTTGGCAGCACTCCAATTGCTAGTGTCACATTCCGACATCCCGGCGGAAGAAACTCTAGTGGTGTTTGCAGACTCGATGGATACACTCGTGCAACAATCTCCCGATTATGTCATTGAGTCCTTTTTAAACATGACACGAACATTTGCATTCTCGGCCGAACCAGGATGCTTCCCACTGGCCACATGGCCGCACAGTTTGGGGGTTCCCTATCACACATGCGACAAGAATTTTCCACTCTCCCAAAACAGATATCAGCATGCCATGATTGACCAATACGGTGGTGCAATCCATGGATATATCAATACGGGAGGATGGATTGGATTGGCATCCAGCGCCTTTGTCGTTCTCACAGAGCTCTCCTCGGTGATTTTACGCGAAGGGCAAGATCAACCGTGTCATGACCATGGAACCGATCAGCTGTTGGGTAATGCGGCATTTGTGCGTGATCCCTCGTTGATTGGTGTCGATTCGGACTATGCCATTATTGGTAGCAATGCGTGGGAACTTTTGGAGGGTTCACATTTGACATTGGGTCCCATTCCATTCTACAAAGATAGCCAAAACAAGGCATACTGCAATGCCAGTTTGACCGCGCCCGAATATGCCGCTTCTTGTCCAGCATTTCTGCATTTTAATGGCCGTGGAAGCTCGGGCGGAAAAATTGATGAAGCCTTTGAAGAGCTGATTTCCGATGATTCCCTTGGGTCGTGCTGCCGTGGGAGGCTCTTGATTGCACATGTTGGAAAGGGGAAGCTGTGGACAGAAAGCTTTGAGGAGAACAAGCGATGGGCAAAATGTAGAAAGGAGAATGCATGTCTCGGGAAGACTACCAAAGATTGGGGCGGTATCTGTCCCAAGGGTATTCCTTAGATGACGGCACGAAGATGCATGATGACAAACTGAGTTGATACAGTTAGAGAGAAGATTGCATCATTCGTGTGAAAGAATGAGCATAAATGAAGTGCAAATTCTTCGCTGTCTGGCCCTGTTCTGCTTCACTCTCGAGGTTGATCTGAGAAAGCCAGACGGATACAGTGCCTCGTCTTGAATGGGCTACCGTTACCTGGTACCAGTACCGATGCATCATGGTTGCAAGCTTGTCTGGCCAAGCCAAGCCAAATGGCAACAAACAGCATCACCCTTTCGCACAAATACCCCTTTGGCTGATTGCTCCAAGAACAGAAGGGCGAGGCCGGGATGTTTAACATCCTCTTTTTCTTTCAGGTTCGGTGTGCTACGAACCCAAAGAACGGAGAGACACCAACAAAGAAACACGTAGCCTTCGCGTCAATTATAAGCATTTCAAAGTCTTTGTTTTATGACAGAACTGTACTGTATACTTTTAAAAACTGTAGATTAATAGTAGTGAGTTGTCAGATTATTAGAAGTAAATGAGTTTCGGTTGCAAACCATGCAGGCAGCACAACTGAATCTGAAACCCCTGCGAAGTACAAAACTGGGCCAACCTCAATACGGATCCAATCCTCATGCTGCACGACCCTTTGGAAGACCCGACTCTTTTAACGTGTTACGTTGTCGTGCGCTTTCAGACATTTGATCGCCAACTTTTTGCTTTCACAAAAAGCCCCCACAGTCTTCCTCGGATCAGTAAGGGTGCCCGTGTTGTGGTTGCTGTTGCGGCTGTGCTAACAGTCCTCCTCCATGCTGTGTTGGTTGCCCATTTTGTATGCTTCCACTTCGAGATCGAAATGACTCGGTCAAGGGTGTCGGAAACGGCAGTGACGTTGCGGTGGTTGTTTCGTCAAAGACCAAACTCTCCAATCCATCATTGCTGCGACTGGGTTTGTGATGCATTATTTGCCCGCTGCCAAAATGAACGACATCTGCGACTGATGATGATGATGTGGTACCGGTATCCAATAAGGCACCGTGTGGCGGTGACAGATTGTATTGCTCGGTATCTCCCGTCAATGGCAATCCCAATTGGATGTAATCCGTTTGACTAACGCCGTGATGATGACGATGATCGGGCAGTTCCGTTCGGTTGCTACTGTTGAGATTACTTCCCATCATGACGACATGTCGGACACTTTCCAGTACTGGATAGGGCATTTCGACGGGTGCCGTGGGAGTCCGCATGTACGATGGATTGTCGATATCATTGTTGTTGTTGTCTCCAAAATACAATTTGAGTGCGACCTGAAGGCCGGCAAAGACCAAACCCAAGACGGCCGGAAAGTAAACGTAAATGTCGTGCATTTCAAAGACTCCCACAATGGTCCACAAACAGCAATTAAAGAGTGCTGCAATCGTAAACGGCCAGGGAATGGATTCGGAAGATTGAGATTCGAGTACGGCCTTGACGGCAACCAGTGGACTGGCAAATGTGAGAATGGTGAGCACTACGGTCAAATCTCCAATGGTACTGACGCGGCTGGAAAAGAAAATGGCAATCCAGAGACTGACGGCCCATGTCCCAATGGCGAATTTGATGTGGGCATAGACACTGCCTGGAAACGTGGGGGATTGTTTGGGTGCATAGTTGGTGAATTCCACAAAGTAGTAGACACTGAGAATGAATTCCACAATGTTGCACACGTAAATCAGGGGTTCTCTCTTGAGGATCCCGTAGAGAATCCATACAAAGCAGGACGTCACCATGGATGTGTAGGGAAGCAAGGGAAGGTCACCCACAGTGCCGTTCCGAAGTACTTGTCGAATCGTTGGAATGGGCTGAAATGAATCGAATGAATTGAATGATTCAATCCATGAAATGAAAAGAAAACAAAACAAGACATCAAGGAATGAGGCGGTTGACAGAAAAATCAGCATCATCAACAGCATTTCAGGGTGCGCTTTGAGACACCTGACAGAGACACATGAAGGAAACGGCAAATCCTCAAAACGCAGACAGCATTTTCCTCCCGCCAACTGCCACAACTGACTGGTAAGAACGCAAAAAACATGACTCACCGAAAGGAACATGAGAATCGAGGAAAACGGAGCCAGCTCTGCGCAAAAGACAACCCATGCTGGGATGGCTTCGCCATCATCCGGTGAAATGTAGTCCTTCATTGTGATGATGATCTATGCGTTCTCGATGTACGTTGTAATAATGGCATGCGCGTTGTATGCTATGCAATGAAAGTGGAACAATGATCGAGACTAGCTAGACTACTGTACAAGACTCCCTTTATTATCCGGATAGCAAGCAAGCAGTCGTCCATTGTCGTTCGGGGACTTGCTTGTGAAAGAGACGCAGAGATGGAAAAAGAACCGGAATAGTGGTTCTGGACCCACACAGGCTCTGGATTATGAGTCTTGTCACACGACTGCACTCTTCCGCCCGGGTGGATGAGAAAACGAATGAAACGGGATTGGGGAGCCAAGAGATTTACGAACAGTACTCACTAAAGAACTCTCATAAGTTTAAAAGTACTGTACTGTACAAGTATCCTTTAATTCTTACAGTAAGGATTTAAAGATGGGACAGCGGAACAGCTGGCTTGCTAGTGTGTCAGCGAAGTGTGAACTATTGTGGGTGTACAATGGAAACTGGACACATACATGAAAGGTGGTGGAGCGACGTCGACAAGCGAAATAACGTTTTGACGTTTCACGGCTTCTCTGATGGGTGAAAAGCTTCTGAAATCAGGTAGATGCGGTAAACCAACTTTGGTATTTGAATCTTTTGATCAAATATATTTACATAGATGTAATGGTAGCTTTAACCTTAAATTTACTCCAACTACAGCTTCATAAATGTCTTGCTGGGTGGCATTGCGACTTCTGCTCGTGTTCTTTTTTCCCCCTGGGGGTCCTGCTGTTATTTGTTTGTGACCGATCTAAACACACTCGTCTCCCATTCAGGAATCCAGGCAGCAAAAGCGCAGCAAAGAGGGCAGGTGGGGAGCAAAGCTTACCAAAAAAATAAGCACCTACCGGTAGCTCTAGCATGCAAGGCGGCAAGTGGGAAGCTTGCTGTTTCTACCAACTAGTCTACAAGTATACTTCTTTGACACCATGAAGTTACTGCCACCAGTGTGGACTGCTTTGACCGGCATGGCCCTACTACGAGTAGTGGCCTCCGCTGAGTATGCCGGGGATAATGACAACAACAACATGGAGCGGAGCTACTTGAGCTCGCTCGTTGCCTTGGACCGGGTGACGGGCAATGTTACTCAACGGGGTAATTTGGACGTTGTGCACTATCACGATGACAAAGACGGTGTTCTACAAGAAGAAGAAGAGGTACCAATCTGCCGCATGGACTACATGGTGGGATTGTCGGCTGTAATTCAGAAACGACGTGTTCCGATCAATAGTGTGGACCAAGTGGAGGGAGCTGCGGCGGTGGCGCTGGCATGCGAGCATTTGAACACGGGAGATGGCTCTGTCGTCGCAGAAGTGGAGGGCCTGAATAAGCGTTGCAATATCAAGTTCCAGTTCCAAGCTCTGGATTCCTTTTTGTCTCCAAAACTGGCTGCGGATCAGGTGATTGACCTGACGTCGAGAAGTAATAGTCGACAACCATGCATCTTTCTAGGGAACATCCAATCCAAAGTCACACTATCGACGGCCATGATCACCGGCATGCGAGGCTATCCACAAATTGGTTATTCCACGGCCACGGAACTGGAGGACCGGACCATGTTTCCCTTGGCTGCTAGAATCCTTCCTTCCCTGGGTATTAATGCGGAAATTCTCGTACGCTATCTACGAGAACAACTCAACGTGAAACATTTGGCGGTGCTACACACGGATACCCGAGAGAGTCAGTCCTACTCGGTGGCATTGCAACAAGCCGCGGCCACTCTGGCGCCGGACTTGGACCTGGTGTCACTGGATATTCCGGATCAGTTGACATCTCCAGAAATACTCCAACGGGCCGTCACAAAACTCAAGGAAACCAATTTCACATACTTTTTTGGTGCCATCCGGGGCGGCCATTGGGCGGCGCTCTGGAACGAAACATTGGCTCAAGGCATTGCTGGAACAGGAAGACATACTTGGATTTATCCTGCTGGTGACGAGTACTTCAAAAGTCTCGTCGTTCCCCGGGACTCTCCACAAGCCAAGGTCATCCCTGGAACACTCTTGGTTCGCTTGACGGGGTATTCCAAACAACCCGTCTTTGACCGACTGGTCGATGCCACAAGACAAATGGCAAACAGCAAGTCGGATCGTGACTATATCCTCAGCAAGCTACCCGTCTATCCCGATGTTATTGCTCAGAATCGCTCCAACATTTTTGCTCCCATCATTTACAATCCCCAATTTCTACAACGGGCACCCACGTCGACCAGCATGCTTACGTGGGCCTATGATTCGGCCATTGCGGCGGGACTCGCTGCCTGCAATGCTACCACAAAAGACGACAACACTCTTCAAGGCATGGACCATTTCCAAGCCGTCACCCGAACCAAGTTTCAGGGAGCCACGGGCAACGTTAGCTTTGACCCCACAACGGGAACCCGTCAAAACTCGCGGTATCGCATCATCAATATTCAACTGGATCACAATCGATCCAATGACACTCATGTGGCATTCCAAGATGTCACAACTTCTATTATCGTCGACAATGAATTCATTGACTTGGAACGACCCATCTTTGGTGATGGAACATCCAACATACCACTCGATTTGCCACCCGTGTCTATCGAACACAATTACTTGTCCGTTGGACTCCAAGCTGTCGGATGGACCATGTCTGCTATTGTTGTGGTGTTGGCAGTCTCTGCGAGTGGCTGGGTGCTGATTCACGGCAAGGAACGTGTGATTCTTGCAGGTAAGCGCGCCTGGAGTCAGTCAGTCCTCTCTTTTGACATTTCCATCATGATAGCAATGGCACTCACCTATATATTATTTACGTTTCTGCATCTGTATCCAGCACAACCAATCTTTCTACACGTCGTCTTTTCTGGAGTCGCGATTCTGGGTCTCTCCATTGTGCCTCTGAGCATCGACGAAGGAACCGCACGGACAATCGAAGGGTGTAACGGGGCTTGTCAGTCCTTTCCTTGGTTCCTTTCAGTCGGATTTTCCCTCATCTTCAGCGCTTTGTCCGCAAAGACTCATCGTGTGAATCGAATCATGCAGAATGCCGGCTTTCGACGGGTGATCGTTTCTTCTTGGGACGTCGCCAAGCCCATGTTTGTGGTTCTTGCAGCAAATGTTTTGGTTCTCTCGCTTTGGACAGCCCTTTCTCCATTGCAATGCGAAACGGAGGTGTTGGCCATGGACCCATTTGGTCGACCGATCGAGACCACGGGATTTTGCACTTCAGATGATTCCCTGGCCTATTGGATCACCCTGGGTGTGATCAATCTTGGTCCTTTGGTCTTTTCGTGTTACGAAGCCTACCAAGCACGAGACATTTCTACGGAGTACTCTGAAACCGACTATATCTTCAAGGCACTGATTGTCATGTGCTTGGTTGGCTCCATCGGGATTCCCATCCTCATTATTGCCCACGATAATCCATCAGCCTACTTCTTTGTGCTGAGTTCGATTACTTTTGTGGTGTGCATGTCGCTGCTGATCTTGATTTTGGGCCCCAAAGTCGTTGCTTTTTATGACTTGCAAATGTGCAGTGGCGGTAAGACTTTACCCCTTCGGTTTTCAAGATCTCGAAGGGGCTCCTGTGCGTTTGGCAGCAGCAGCGCGGCGAAACAAAGTAGCGTGCAGAGTTTCAGTGATGGCAGTGCTGCCAATGTGTCGGGCATGCTGATTTTGAAGCACCCCAAGACAGCCGAGTCATTGGCACACAAAAACATGTTACTCAGAGTGCAGAACGAGGAATTGAAGAAAGAATTGAAAAAGTCCTCGGCAGAAACTCCAGAGCTGCTCGAGGAATCGGAAGAACCACTGGAAGTTAATCAAGAGGTCCCATTGCCAGAAGGAGCTCCAGTTGTTGAAGAAGACGGGCTGCTGGAGGCCTATAAAAGGCTGCAAGAAGCAAACAAAGGGCTTCAAAAAGAAAACAGAGGGCTACAAGAAGAAAACAAGGGACTTTTAGAAGAGAATGAGGAATTGAAGAAATTTATCCCGACCCATCACACCGAAGACGACGACACTGCCTCAGCGTGAAGATGCTACGAACGTTTACCGGTACCAACACACCGAAACATCGTGGAGCTATCAAAACCTTTCCAAAGAAGAACAAATCAGCAGCACCGAGCTGCACCGGAGAGGGTTCATCGTGGTCTATCTAGTTTTCAGGGACTGATTTGCTGGTGCAATGGGAACCGAAGCAGCTGGCGTTGGCACAATTGCGGCTCTAGCAGCATGGGCTGCTTCTGTCGTGCAAGGAGCAGTAGTGCTCATACTAAAGATTCAAAGCAGTGCCTGCGAACCAAAACTAGCTAGGCTAGCTAGACTGCCTCTGGAGGCCCATAGTTTTGCTTGATCAAATGCCTCCTTTACGGTAGATGCTCTGCAGAGTCTGCTATGATGAAACCTCTTCCTACAAGAATAACCGTGCTGAATGTCTCGGCGAGTGCGGCTTTTGTTCGTCGGGAGTGCACCATGGTGTCGAACCACGGTGGCACAAACATTCCAACTAAACCAGGTACCAGTAGCCAGCTAATCAAAAGGCTGAAAAGCAGCTAAAAGTAGACTACTACCACTGCCGGAACGATCGAAGATCACCCCAACCTGGGAAGCAGAGTGACACACCATACCCGACCTCATGGATGCATTGCTTCGCGGGAAGAAAACAACCATAATGTTTTCGTACCTGCTCTTTTTAATAAAACATGAGCTCACCATATCCAAACAACGGGCTTTGACGGCCAGAACATTTCACGGGGGCTCTGGTGGTTGTTGAAAGTCGGTCGGAGCTAATAGCGGCGCAAATGCATCCGACACAGGACGGCCACCACCACGACGAAACCCCGGTCCGCATATTCTGTCGTCCATTGGATCTTCCCATTGTGCAACCTGACGCCAAAGGTCACTAATGACCAGGAAACTGCCCTTGTCATGTTCCCTCAATTGGCCCCTTGTAAAGGGATAGAATTTGTTGCATGGAGGACAACGGTGCTGTCCCTTTCGTCTTCGACGATCCTTGGAGATGAAGCATTCTCGTAAGCGTCGCAGGAAGCGTTCCCACCAGCTCATTTTTTCATTCGTTTCTGCGGCAGAAGCAGCGACGACAAGCTGTCGCCTTGGAATACCCTTATCGTCCTCCATGTCCTGCTGCACTTGTCGTTTCTGTACTCGTTCCAAGACGACGGGATGCCGAAAGGGAGGGCTGCAAGCGTCCATTCCGGCATGACCGCCAACCTTGTCGAGATGGTGATAGGTATCTGACAAGTATGCGACGGACATTTCGGACCAAAACTCCTTGTAGTCTACCATGGCGTAGGCAATATCCGTGTCACAGTCAGTTCCCGCCCAATCTCGCCGCAGAGCCTTGTCATACAGTCCGGACTCTCGAGCCTTGCAGTAGGCTTGCCAGAGTTGTGTGTTCCCCAGACCATTGGGCAATGCAAATTGGTGTATCAAATGACAGAATTCGTGGCAAATGAGACCAGCACCATTCCAATGCAGTCTCATTTGTAAGTATTCCCAGCAGTCGTATATTTCAATGCTGTGCATTTTATCGGGTCGGTCTCTGGCCCTGCAGCAGTACGGTATGGGATTGAGAAGGACAAGTGAGAAACAGTGGCTTTTTCTACCATTCAATTCAGATTCCTCGTGCTAGCTAGCTAGTTTTAGGTTATGAAACGACAACCAATGAAATCCGAAAGTTTTCCCAAGGAACGTACCAATTCAACCACCAGACAGCATGATGTGCCGTGGTGTGTTTCAAAAGACGTGGATTGTCTCTCTGACCATAGCTGTAGGTGAGGTTGATCCATATTCTGGTCCGCTTGATGAATGCATGGACCGACGAGGGGAAGAGCTCCAGGCATTGCTTGATATCTTCGTTCAGCGCTTTCAATACGGAACGACAGAGAATGAGTACATTTGTCCGACACATGGCCACGACTCCACATCGAAGCTTGATGGGAACATAATTGATCCGCGAGTTGTCGATCATCTGAGCATGATTGTAGTCTGGAGCGCTCGACATGACCTTGATGTCCACAGGCATGAACGAGACCGTGTCACTCACTACAGTGCTGTCGCCGTCAATATGCTCGCTGACAACATAATCTTTGTCATCTTCGACAGGAGTTTTGTCGGAAGAAGAAGGAATGGGTGGAATCTTCGCTCCAGCATCGCTGACCATTGTTCTCGAATGATAGGGTTTGATCCTACCGTATCCAATCAAAGCCAGTACCTGTCTCAGCTACACCACCAAATGCAATCAACAGAGAGTGTCAAAGAAGAGAGTTGTGTTGGTCTCTCCATGTACTCTCGATCAGACTCCCTCCTCTTGTTGTTTCCGTCCTGCTGCCGTCGTCGCGATGTGGCATATGTTGCATGTGGCGACTGTGATCACTCAACCTCCTTGCTCTCGATCGATGATTCGAATCGAATCCAATCATTCGAATTGATCGAATTGTGAAGTCACTCAAGATCTCTTTGAGACTGTCGGTGGATCGACAGCAACTAAAGGCTCTACGATTGTATTCTCACCCTCAGCTTGAGCTTGGTGGGCTTCGTGATATCGCCTCGCATCAGTGCATGCTCATGGTCTAGAAGGGGAAAAACTAACTTGTTTCTTATAAGATTCAGTGGTACGGTACATGTAACAGTGGGCATTTCAAGGTGAATTATCATCGTCGTCATCATCAAGCAGACCTTCCGAAGCCAAGAAGAGGTCACGACGCAATGGTACAAGTGTGGGACTACCACCACCTGGAGGCGCTGGTGGAAGGGTTAATGGTAGAAGTGTGGGACTACCACCACCTGGAGTCTGTGGTGCTTGGGTGGGTGGTGTTACTCCACAAGGACCATCCACATTGGTGCACGGGCAGCTGTTTGCAGCACAGCTCACCGCACAATCTACCCTCAAAGTATCATAAACACAGAGCCCATATGGGACTGTGCCGCTCAGCTGATTATCATTCAACCATGCATCATAGAGGAAATTCATGCGACTGAGCTCTGTGGGGATGGTTCCTGTGAGCCTGTTTAAATGCAGCCACAATGAAGACATTGAAGTCAACAAGCCAAGATGAGTGGGAATACTGCCCGACAATAGGTTCCCTCTCAGCAACAAGCTGTTCAACCCTGTCAACAATCCAAGATGAGTTGGAATTGCAGAAGAAAGTCGGTTCCATGTCAACCCTAGCGTATCCAGTGCTGTGAGGTAACCAATGTGCGTTGGAATGGGCCCTGTAAGTTGGTTATAATCCAACTCCAACTCTTCCAGTGATGTGAGAGATGCAAGTTGAGATGGGATTTCTCCAGTAAGTTTGTTGATTCTCAAAGACAAATGCTTCATTGCAGTTAGAGATCCAAGCAGTGACGGGAGTGGACCCGACAGCTGGTTGATATGCAAAGACAAATCGGTCAACAGAGTCAAAGATTCAAGTTGGGTCGGGAGTCGACCTGATAAGCGATTGCTAAACATAAGAAAACTCCGCAATGCTGTCAATGCCTCAACTTCAGTAGGAATTGCGCCTGATAGTTGGTTGGCACCCAAATTCAAATGAGTTAGCATAGAAAGGAGACCAAGCTCTGTTGGGATTGTGCCCATCAGACCCTCATCATAAAGATCCACTCGCGTTGTTGTGTAAGGGTCATAGGCCCTGCCAAAGATCCCCACATCTGTCACAGAGCTTGGTGAAGCTGATGGAGGAGGTGATGGTGGTGATGGTCTTGGTGCACAAGGACCATCCGCATAGGTGCATGGACAACTGTTGGCAGCACAGGTCACCTCACAGTCTACCTGCAACCTATTGGAGACACAAATTCCATTTGGAACCGTGCCACTCAGGTCGTTGCTGTGAAGATCTAGATTATAAAGGGAAGTCAACTGGCTGAGCTCTGAAGGAATAGTGCCAGAAAATCCATTTCCGTTCAAGTATACCCATCGGAGATTGATCAATTCACTGAGCACTGAAGGGACTGTTTCAGTGAATTGGTTTGAATACAACCACAAAGAAGTCATTAAGGTCATCAATCCAAGATGAGTTGGGAGAGTTCCAGTAAGTCCGTTTGAATAGAAGCGTAATGAGCGCATTTGTCTGAGAGATCCAAGCTGCGTAGGGACTGGACCTGTCAATGAGTTGCCCCCCAAACTCAAATAAGTGAGCTTGGTAAGAAGACCAATCTCTGTTGGGATTTGCCCCGTCAGACCCGCATAATTTCGTGATATAGACGTTGCGCTGTCAGGGTTATAGGTGATGCCAAAGATCACCACTGCTGGCGAAGTTGGGCCCTGGGTAGGGCTCCTTGTGGGTCTTCGAGTTGGGTTGTTGGTGGGTCTTCGAGTAGGCCTTCGTGTTGGATTCCGAGTGGGTCTTTGAGTTGGGTTGTTGGTGGGTCTTCGAGTAGGCCTTCGTGTTGGATTTCGTGTGGGTCCTCGAGTTGGGGATCCAGGTGTGTAACTAGTTGGTGTACCAGAGGGTGAAGTTGATGGAGGGGCCGATGATTGTGTTGGGGATTCACTTGGACTGACTGAGTGTGATGGAGAAGCGGATGGTGCTTGTGATGGTAGCTTACTTGGAGATTTGCTCGGATTGACAGAGGGTGATATAGAAGCTGATGGTGGTTGTGATGGCAATTTACTAGGAGATTCACTTGGAATGACTGAGGGTGATGAAGAAGCCGTTGTTGGTATTTGTGATGGCAATTTACTCGGAACGGCTGAGGGTGAAGCTGATGGTTGTTTTGACGGTACCATACTTGGATATTTACTTGGAAAAGCTGATGGTGAAGCTGATGGTTGTTGTGACGGTACCTTACTTGGACTGATTGAGGGCAACATACTGGGACTGGTTGAGGGTGCACCTGACGGAGAAGGTGTTGCATCTGCCCCAGCATTGCCCCCCAAGGTGCTCGTAGGCAATTCCGAAGGACTCGCTGTGGATGTTGTTGTTGGGGCATTAGAGGGTGATCCAGAGGGCACAGGTGTTGGTTGTAATGTTGGAAATCCCGTGGGTAATTGAGTTGGGAGCCCAGTAGGCGTTGTTGTTGGGGCTTCCGAGGGTGATCCAGTAGGCTCATCTGTTGGTTGTAACGTTGGAGTCGCGGTGGGTGATGGAGTGGGGAGCTCAGTTGGTTGTGCTGGACAAGGGGCATTTCCATCTACCCTTTCACAAGGACAACCGTTTCCGGAACATGTCAGTCCACAACCCACAGACAGAGTTTCAGAAGCACAAACTCCATTTGGAACAGTTCCACTCAGCTGATTCCCTTCCAAATACACCTCTTTAAGGTTTGTCAATTGGTTTAGCTCTGTTGGAATTGTTCCTGTTAAATCGTTGAAAGCAAAACTCAAAGAAGACATCAACGTCAACAATCCTAGATGTGTTGGAAGGGTTCCTGTAAGCCTATTCGAATCCATCAACATTTCTTCCAATGCTGTTAGTGCCCCAAGCTCAGTCGGGATAGGACCTTGCAAAACATTGAAACGCAAATCCAAAAAAGTAAGCTTGGTAAAAAGACCCAGGTCAGTGGGGATGCCACCATTCTGGCGGCGATGAACCATGCTTGTTGTAGTGTCAGTGTCATATGTCTGACCAAAGATTTCCACCGCCACCAAGGTCCTGGTGGGTTTTCCAACCTTTGTGCGTACAAGCCGAGTTCCATTTGCCCAATAACCAGAGGCGCGTCGAATCATCTCATCCATGACACCATGATTGGCTCCACTGGTGCTCCTCAAGAAATTCGTCGAGGAAACTGATGAGGCCAACATCAATGTAGCAACTGTTCCCCATAGAAAGGAAACAATCATCTTTGAAGTCTGGTTTATTTGGGTGGGCGTGGTACTGATTCGATTCAATTCAATTTTTGCTGTAGAGCACCAGCATTTAAAAAAAAGATGTGAGGACTCGGTGCAGTGGGTGTATCAGAATGGATCGAATGAATGAATCATTACATCCGGCAAGTCCGCCGAAAGATTTCAAAACCACAAAGATGCTGCCAAACCAACCTCAAGCCTCAAGCAGTTCACGTCGGTTGCCAACCCAAATCCAGGTCCATTTCTCATCCATCTGACGAGGAAGTACGTACCGTACTATTCGTTTCTGTACGCTAGGCCAGAGGTCTCGTGGACAGGATAGAAACCGTGCAGATGTCGATCAGCAAGCAAAAAATTTTGTGGGTGGAACCTCAAACCTCGGCTGCACCTTTCCGTTGCGAAGTAAAGCACCCAGCATTAAAAGCATCCTCTCTCATCTGTCACAGCTGAGTTCACAGCTGCCACAAGGGAGCTTGATCTCGTTTGACTGCTGCCATTCCGCAAACGGGTCCACGTCTGAGGGTCGAGCAGAGAGAGCTGCGAGAGATTGGAAAAGGCTGCCGGAGTCACGAGTCTGAAGGTTTAGCCTCGAATTGCCAGAAGCACTGAAGGCCGCTGTACCATGGCTCGTACCGTTCATGGTTGTTGTTTCAAGTACCAGCTGGTAGTTTCAAGGAGCTTGTCCATGTCAGAAGTACGAAAGGCCACCGTAGCATGGCTGGTACCGTTCATGGCTGAAATTTATTTATTTATGCGGTTGATTGACGGGGCCGGTTGGATTGGCAAACGATTTCTTCAAAGACGATGGAGAATTCCTTTTTAATTAAAATTGCCAAAGAGGCTAAAATGGCATGTGTCCTTCTTTCACGGTTTGAAGTACGAGTTTAATTAAGGAAGTGGGTGAGACACGTAGAAAGTGTACCAGCGCTACAGCCCAAAAATTTAACGCTCGGAGTCCCAGAATTTGGGAGACCCCACTCCCAGAATCTGGGAGACCCCACTCCCAGAATCTGGGAGTGTGTACAGGTAGGTATGGTATATATTGGGTTAGAATTCTCTTCTATTCCCGCATCTACCTGAAAATCTGGTCTGCCAGGAAAGTCCAAGCCTTTGCTTTGTTGTTGATGAGCTCCCAGTCGATCGCACGAAGCAGTGCAGTGGTAGCTGCCGCTTGTTGTATTAGAAGTAGTGGCTTGTTGTTTCATTAACGGTAGTGGTGTCGTTGCTCCGACGTGGAAGAGGAGGTGTCATGTTATCTCCTCTTTACAGCGGCTCCTCTTGAAGACGTCTCCACGATGACCATGTTCCTCTTGTTGATCAGACTTGAAGCCGCAGTGGCAGCGAGTCCACGATCCGTTCGACGATCCGTTCGACCACCTGTTCGCGGACGGATCTTCCGATGACTTCTTTCTTCCCATCGAAGCGACCATCTGCACTACGCTAAAAGCTAGTGTAAAGATCTTTCGAGTGTTTTGAGTTTGAGAGAATGAAAGTTATGAAAGAGAGATTAGAAAGCTACGAAACTAATCCATGAGAGAGATCGTTGTGAAGCTCATTGAAGTTGGTCTCCCGCGGGAGGCCTCGAAGTGTGATATCGTAGGTTATGGCAATAACTCTACGTACTCCACGGTCCATTTCCGAACACGTGGAAACTTCAGTAGAGCTGTCTAGTAGCGTGGATTGTCCACGCGGCTAATATCTAGAGCGATGTTTCATTCGACAACCTAGTATGACTAGCAGTCATGAGACCCTGCTCAATGACTATTCGAAAGACTAGTCATGAGTCGAACTCAAAACCCTATCTAGGATCGAGTCGCGAATAAGGCTAAGAGCCGTGTTTGCATTCGCCCCCTGACAAGGGTCACAGAAGGCGCGACAGCAGTCGGACAAGGAGAACATATGAATTAAAGTGCGAGGCACTCTCCGGAGATTGGATGTAGACATGTGCGTGCACGATGGCAATCCTACAAGGGGATCAGGCCTTGTATGGGTGTAAATACCTTATGTTCAAGTCTGGTAGGTGTGCCGCCATTGCGGTAGTGTCGGAGCCTACAGTGCCATGTTATTGACTCGGCTCCATATTGTAAGGACCTTTGTACTTTGGTTGACCGTGCTTGCGGTGCTGATACTGTTGAAACTCACAGTATCTTGACATTGTATTGATGAGGGAACACGCGTCGCGTTTTCCTTATCAGTGTGTTTCTGATGAGTCGTTGGCGACGTTCTTATGTGTTTCCAGTTACTTCGAAACGGACGTTGTGAATCGCGTCACGATTGAACATGTGTGGTAATGAACTTTGACGAAGTCCATATTCATCCGGAGAGTCTTTCGACTTCTGCGCGGAATTCACTTTCGCTATCCATGATAACCTCAGCGGGCCATGGATACGGGTGAGCCACGTCGTTTCTAGAACGATGGCTACTTCGTCTGCTGCATTGAGCAGATCTCGGCATCTCGACCATTCGGTTACGGGATTAATCTTGTCAAGCAATGAAATGGACAGGGATTCCTTTTCTTGGGATCCCCGACGTGTATGTACATGTGATCGTCTGATCCATATGTCTCGATATATTCACTAGTCCAATGAATCTCCAGTTTCTTCCTGTGTAGGAGGAGCGATTTCTGGATCGCATCTATTTTCTGGTTACGGTTGGATTCCTTCTCGAGTAATCCATAGCTCAGATACTCAAGTTCTCTTCTTTCGAAGAAGGACTTGGTAGCATTGATCTTAAGTCCAGCTTTCGAAGCCTTTAGGAGAACTTCATTTAACTATTCAACGTGATCCC